TATTGTCTACACCATTAGATTGTCAACTACTTGAGAGAAGAGACTTTCCTTTTTTATTGTTGTGTCTCCAGCACTTATATGAGTGATGGTTCTTTGTTTTTAAATTTTTTATTAATTTATTTTGATTTATCAACAATCACATCCATAAGCTTTTGAGTTTTAAATTTTTCTCCCCTCCTTTACCGCCTCCCTCCTCAAGATGGCACTCAATCTGATATAGTGATGGTTCTTATTAAGTATTTATCAACGAACTGCTACTTCTTTTAGACTTCAAAAGAAATGTAGACTTTTGGTTTCACTTTGAATGATTCTAGATCCCAATGCTTCCCAGCAGCATATTCACTTCTCAAAGATTTTTCACTTTAACTTTTATGACTACCTTAAATATGATATGACATTGATTTCTGTGGATATACCATGTGCCTGATAGAGTGGATGAATATAAGAATAATGTTAGAAAAATGCATATTTGAGGATAATGATGATGAAAATCAAGATGAGGAAAAGGAAGAGGATTGATGATGATAAATGATGATGGTGATTATATGATAATAATTCCATTGAGTAACTAGATTTTCCTGAGTTGAGATTTAACCTAGTATAAGAGATAAAATACTGTATTGGACTAATAATAAGGAAAACACAGTTCCAATCTTGCACCCAATGCTTATAGGTTTGATAACCTCAATACTTTATTAAATCTTTTTCATAACTTTTTAAAATTTTTATTAATTTATTTTTAGTTCTCAACACTCACTTTCCTAAGCTTTTGAGTTTTAAATTGTCTTCCCCTCCCTCTCCAGCTCCCTTCCCAAGATGGCATGCAATCTGATATAGGCTCTACATATACATTCCTATTAAACATATTTTCACATTAGTCACTTTGTAAAGAAGAATTAGACCCAATAGGAGGAGCCACAAGAAAGAAGAAACAAAACAAAACAGAAGAAAAATAAAAGAGCAAATAGTATGCTTTGATCTTCATTTAAACTCCATAGTTCTTTCTCTGGATGTGGATAGCATTTTCCATCATGAGACATTTGGAGATGCCTCACATCCTTGCTTTGCTGAGAAGAGCTATGTCTATCAAAGTTAGTCATCACACAATGTGGCTGTTACTGTGTACTATGATCTCCTGGTTCTGCTCACTTCACTCAGCATCAGTCTCTACAAGTCTTTCCAGTTTTTCTGAAGTCAGCCTGTTCATCATTTCTTATAGCACAAAAGTATACCATTACATTCATATACCACAATGTGTTCAATCATTCCCCAATTGATGGGCATCCCCTCAGTTTCCAATTCTTGGCCACCACAAAAAGAGCTGCTCTAAATATTTTTGCACATGTGGATCCTTTTCCCATTTTTATGATCTCTTTGAGATACAGTCCTAGAAGTGCTATTGCTGAGTCAAAGGGTATTCACATTTTTATAACCCTTTTAGCATAGTTTCAAATTGCTCTTCAAAATGGTTGGATCAATTCACAACTCTACCAACCATGGATTAATGTTCCAATTTTCCCACATCTTCTCCAACATTTATCATTTTCCTGTTCTGTGGTGTTAGCCAGCCTGATAGGTATGATGTGGTACCTCGAAGCTGTTTTGATTTGCATTTCTTTAATCAACAGTGATTTAGAGCATTTTTTTCATATGACTATAGATAGCTTTAATTTCTTCATCTGAAAACTGTCTGTTCATATCCTTTGATGATTTGTCAATTGGGGAATGACTTGTATTCTTACAAATTTGACTTAATTCTCTATATATTTTAGAAATAAGGCCCTTATCAGAGACTCTGGTTTTCACAATTCTTTCCCAGTTTTCTGCTTCCTTCCTAATCTTGGTTGCATTGACTTTGTTTGTGCAAAAAACTTTTCAACTTAATACAATCAAAATTATCCATTTTGCATTTCATAATGTCACCTCTCTCCTGTTTGGTTATAAATTCATCTGTTTTCCACAAATATGATAGGTAAACTATTCCTTGCTCACTCAGTGTACTTAAAGTATCAGTCTTCATACCTAAATCTTGAATTTATTTTGGTAATATTAAATCTTTTTTGAGGATCAATATTTCAGCTGTAAAATGGTATTAAAAACATCTATTTTACCTACTTTATGAGGTTGTTTTGAATCTTCAATGAGGAAAAGCTTATAAACTCTGTAATCTACAAATGTCAGAAATTATTAACATCTTTTATCTTTTTAGACCTGTTTTTAAAAATGTAAAATGAACGTGCTTTGGTATTATTCTTACTACTCTAAGATAATTTATTTAAGGGGAAAAAAGAAAGTTAAGCAAAACAATCCCTGAAGAGCTCTTTACCACTATAAGGTTTCCATTAGGAGAGGTTATTCTGTGAAGCAGTTAGATGTTTTCTTCCTTTTTTTTGCGAGGCAGTTGGGGTTAAGTGACTTGCCCAGAGTTACACAGCTAGTGAGTGTTATGTGTCTGAGGCCAGATTTGAACTCAGTTCCTCCTGACTCCAGGGCTGCTGCTCTATCCACTATGCCACCTTGCTACCCCTGTGAAGCTGTTTAATTCACAGACTTTGAGGGCAATACAAATGAATATAAACCTAGAGAATAATCCATATTAATATGGAAAATCTATGTTTTCAAATATTGTAGCAGTAAAACTCTTATTAATGAATAATTTTGTTTTCCTATCAGACAAAGGGAAAATCTTGTGTTACTAGCTTTTTATTCAGCACTAGTCCCAAAGAAAATCACACTGCACATCTCAGAAAAAGACAATTATCAGCACTTTATTTTAACACATTTCACACCAAAATCACTAGATAGTTCCATGGTCTTTTACCTCCTTATGACTTTCTATATTCAGGTAAGTATTTATAATTCCATCCACATGGAACTTGTTCAAAATTTTTTCTCAAGTCCTTTATCATTGAAGAAAACTGGAGAAGAGCCTATCCTGAGAGGCTGCCATGCTGACTAATGTAGAACATCATGTCTTCTTCTGAAGTGGATATTGGAAGAACATGCAAGAGAAAATTCAAGACGATTCAATGTAAGCAACCTTCTTACTTAGTTAACCAGCAAAACCTCCTTGAAGGTCCTGCCTCTAGGTCTGCCCATACAAGCCAAGAACTTTCTCTTAGTAATTCCTAAACCTGATTTGCATAAAAATTAGATTAAAGACATAAAAGAATTAAAATGGGACACATTTAAAGTCTTATGTATTATTTTGTTTTTATAAAAATCTCCACAAGTGAACAATAGGAAAAAAAAACATATTTTTGTCATTCTTTAAAGAAAACTTGAAGTTTTTAATGGATTCTAATTTCAGAGTCTAGGGTATTATATATGAATTAAGAAAGTAAACATGATCTCTATTAAAATAGATATGGTATCCTGGCATAGGATGTGACAGTTTGGTTGCATTCTGCCTTGACCAGACCACATTTGGTCCATTGTATTCAGTTTTGGGTAACAGTGTTCAGGAGGGACATTAATAAACTCCAGAGTAAACAGAGGAAGGAAACAATACTATTAAAGAGACAAAAGCACAAGACATGTGAGTAGTGGTTGAAGACTCACAGTGAAGATGATCATGGTATCATAGAATTTTAACTAAAATAGAACTTAAAATATGTCATCAAACCCCTACAATTTATACATGAGTGGGAATCAGAGAAGATAAACATATTGCCCAGAATATCACAGATCACAAGTAACAGACTTTTTATTTAAACCCAGAATGTCAGAATGTCACAAAATTCTTATTCATTTTAAGCTTTAGAAACATGAATCTATACTAAAACTTTTGGAATACCCTGTAAAATCCAGCGTTCTTTCCATCCCTGCACAAAAATAAAAACTGTATGACTCAAGCTGGGGTAAGAGGTGGAAATTTGCTTCTAGAATTTGAATAATTATTATAAAGGATAGAGAATAAACTTTTTCTGCTTCCCAGAAAAGGCCAGGAACATAAAGTCATAAAGGGGATATTGAGGTTGGAATAATGATAAACTTCTTAACTAAAAGAGATATACAAAAGTAGATTGCCTGCTATGGCAGGAATGGCTCTCATGCACATGGTATTTCCCTTAATAAAATGTAAGTTCAGTATTGGAAAAAAAAATTAAATTTATCTGAGTAAGCCCAATGCTTAGAACAGTACCTGGTACCAGGATTTTCTAAGTTTGTTAATTGATTTTCCCAGGAAGTGAAACTTCAAACAAAGTTAGGTATTCATTTTTATAATATATAATTAAATAGATTGGTTTATAGATCTATTTTCTACTAAATACTCTAATAGTTCCTTTCAATTAAGTGGTCCACTAAACTAACATTTATTGGAGATTGACCAAAAAAAAACTAGTAACAAATCAAATATCATTCTCTGAAAAACCTGGAAAGACTTACATGACCTGATGATGAGTGAAGTGAGCCAAACCAGGGGAACATTGTACACAGCAATAGCAACATTATGTGATGATTAACTGTGATTGACTTAGCTCTTCTTATCAATACAATGATCCAAGACAATTCCAAAACACACGTGATGGAAAATGATAACTACATCCTGAGAAAGAACTAAGGAGTCTGAATGAAGATGGAAGCATACTATTTTCACTTTTTTTGTTTTTTTTCTTTCTCAAGGTTTTTTCCATTTTTCTGATTCTTCTTTCACAACATAACTAATGTGGAAATATGTTTCACATAATTGTACATGTATTACCTCTATCTGATTGCTCACTGTCTTGGTGAGGGAGGAGGAAGTACAGGGAGGGAGAAAAATTGGGAACTCAAGATTTTACAAAAATAAATGTTGAAAACCATCTTTACATGTAATTGGAAAAAAATAAAATACAATTAAGGGAAAAGTAATTCTCTGCATATTAAAAGATATATTTTTGTTTAAAAGATGAGAGAAGAATCAGGGAGAAGTTTACAGAAATTTAGTACATTTTTACTTGCTTCAAATAATGCAACAAAATCATGCTATATGATGGGCATTAAAGAGAAGGCTTACATCATTTTTTGAAGAGTCTTCTCAAGGCACTTTTCACCTCTTTGTTCCTAAAGCTGTAGATCAAAGGATTGAGCATGGGGATGACCAGAGTGTAAAACACTGAGGCCATCTTGTCTGTGTCAAAGGAATGACTAGATTGGGGCTGGAGATACATGAAGAGAAGTGTCCCATAGAATACAACCACCCCTGTGAGGTGAGAGCCACAGGTAGAGAAGGCTTTGTGCCTGCCCTTGGGTGTATTCATCCTGAGGATTGCCACAAGAATGAGCACGTAGGAGACAAGGATAATCAAGAGGGAGGAAAACAACTCAAATATAGAAAAGGTGATAATGATTAGTTCAATCTCACTTGTGTCTGAGCATATAATGGACAATAGGGGAAGACCATCACAGTAGAAATTTCTTATTACATTTGATTTACAGAAAGACAATTTGAAAAGCTTTATAGAGATTAGTAGGGATATTGTGATACTATAGAGGTATGAGATAGTCACTAAGATCCAACATACCCTTTCTGACATGATGAGCATATAGTGCAGTGGCTTACAGATAGCAACACAACGGTCATAGGCCATGGCTGACAGGATAAAAAGTTCACAGGCAATAAATATTACAAAAAAACCTAGCTGCATTGCACATCCATTATAAGAAATGATATTTTTCTCTTCTCTAGAACCAACCAACATTTTTGGTCCAATAGCTGTGGAATAGCCAAGATCAGCAAATGCCAGATGCCTGAAAAAAAAATACATGGGGGTTTTGAGGTGGGAATCCATACTGGTTAGGATGATGAGGCCTAGGTTTCCCACAGCTGTGGTCATGTAGTTGAGTAAAAACACAACAAAGAGGGGACCCTGCAGCTCAGGACTGTTGGTGATGCCCATGAGAATGAATTCAGTCACCTGGTTCCCAGGGGTTTCATTCAACTTCATCATTTCTTTCATCCAAGGAACATAATCTAAGAAGAAAAAAAATATGCCTTCTTTGAGTACTGTTTGCCTAGGTAACTAAACAGTTAAGTGGTAGAAATGTGTTAGATAATGATGAGAAGGAGTTTTCCCACTCAATTACAATGCATTTTATCAATTTAAGTTCAATGTGGTGAATCCACTACAAATTGAAAAATCACATTGTATCATTTGATTTAATATTATATCACATCATATCATATAACATCTACATCCTGTCATAAAGAGGTTAATGAATGTGGTTTTATTTTATAAAATACTGAATTATGAGACTACTTAACTTCAAGTGATGGAAGAGGACAATATTATAGTTATATTTTTACTAATCTATTAGTCCAATGGTTATAGTGGGATGATAATGTAGGCTAGAGCATATAAAAACACTTTAAGGAGGAATTGTGGTGAAGTACATATCATGTTTGCTGTGAAGCTCAGTAGACATGAGATAAATACCACATCCAACACATTTTCACAAAATCCTGTACTTGTCATGTAATCTCCTGCTTATTGGGTCATTGTCTATGATTATCAGTTGCAAAATGATGGCCCATGACAAGAAATGGAAATTTCTTTTTAGGTGTGCACTAAACCATTGAAGATAAAGGTCCAGTATCTATTGCAGTCTCTGCCTCATGCAGTCATTAGTAGTATGATATCCAGGGTAACCCTATATGTCTACTCACTCTCTGTAGCCTCCCTTCCCTTTGCCTTCTCAGAGAGAAAATATTTTTTCTACCTGGATTATGAAGGTGAACTTGACTAACAGTTTTGGTGTTTTTAATGTGTATTATTCCAAGAGAGATGAAAAGACTTTAAAAAATATGCTTGTTGTTCAGATGATGTCCAGTTACATAGCATTGATCTCAAAAATCACATATATTATTATTGATAAATATCCCTTGACAAAAACTATTTGATTTATCTGATTGCAGAAAAGTTTCTGTGAGAATTATCACAGTTGGGAATTGCCATCTGATGGCTTTCCTAAAATGATTTCATGCCATTTCAATTTGAGCAAATTCAGCCCTAGGCCACAAAAATCTTCTATTCACCCTCACAGTGAGTATAACGATTGAATTTTTGAACAGAGACGCTTGGATTCCATATTTTTGACACATGCTGCACTGAAAAATCACAAAGAAAGTATAATGTTACCTGCTTATCTGGGTGGTAGAATCTTCTGTTTCTTGTTTATGTTAAATGTACTACTAGCTGCTAGAGTTAGATTTTATAGTTTTCTCATTCCCCATGAGGCCATCTCCCTGAAGCAATTAATTAATTTCACACGATCATGTCATGCAAATTGCTCGGACAGTATTAAGTGACAAAGTTCACTGGTCTACTTGATTTCATGAAGTATTTGTTAAATATCTACTATGTTCCTGGCTTCTGTTTTTGGGTGATATACCATGATTTCATTAAGCCCAAGAACCTTGCACAGATTTATGTGAGAGATCTGTGGCCAAGAACAGTTTATTTTAACCATCTATGTACTAAAAGTCAAACAGATGAAGAATATCTAAGACCCCAAATAGAATATGAAGTTGTTTGACAGACATGAAGAATTTTCTTTTTTGGATGCAAATTTGGGACAGATGGGTACAAATGGACTCAGTGTTGACCATCAAAAATAACCAGGGGCAGATAAACAGACTGGATTGTCTTTAGAGAATTACAATTTCTTTTAGAAGGGACTAGGCGGGGCTGTGGATAGAGAATTAGGCCCGCAGTTTGGACGAACTGATTTCTAATCCACCTTCATATACTAGCTCTTCAACTTTTGCCATGTAAGTTAACATCTTTCTGCCAATTTTTCTTTATGGTAAAATAGGGCTTATAACAGCATCTACATGCCAGCATTATTGTGAGGATCAAATGAAACTTTTGTCAAGTACCTCAGTGGCCCAGTGAATTTGCCTCTGGGCCTAGAGTCAGAAAAGGCTCATTTCAAAAGTTGTCTCAGATATGTAGAAGCAGGTTGAACATTGTCAAGTACCTTTATCTTTGTTTGCCTCAGTTTCTTAACCTTTCAAATGGAACCAATAGTACTTCCTACTTAGATTGTTGTGAAAATCACGAGATATTATTTGTAAAGTGGTTAGCATAGAGGCTGGCATATAATATGCATTTAATAAATGTTTTTTTTAATATTTTCTTTCTTAACGACTCCAACCTTTTCTTAAAGAGACCCATATATTTTGTTTTAAATAAATTACAACCTTTTTAAGTTCAAACTTCTTTTTTTCCTTCTGGTCCCCTCCCCTACTTCCTGAAAAAGCAAGCAATATGATACTTATTATACTTGTGAAGTTCAGCAAAAAAATCATATATATACATATATACATATATATATATGTATGAAGACAAATTAAAAAAAGAATATTCTTTAATCTTCACTCAGATTTCATCAGTTCTCTCTCTGGAAATATATAGCATTTTTTTCTCTTTTTTTGAGTCTGCATCTGTTCATATAAATCTTCACCAATTTGTTCTGTAACCATCTCCATCATCACTGGATGTGCACATGGTTTAATTCTTTTGGTGCATATATTATGTGACAGTCCTGTGGCATGAAAGACTCTCCTTGGAAGATATAAGATTCCATTACTAGGAACTTTTGACAAGTGAAGTTATAGTGCTCTTTTCCTTCAGTGTAAGTGTAGTTGTCAATAAATTAAGGCCTTGTGTGGAAAGTAAATTTATGTCTATGGAGCAGTTAGTGGGATATCCAGAGTTGGAAAAAGAAATCCTTAAAAGGTTTAAATGCCAAAAAAAAAATGTAAAGCCATGGGGAACAAAGTTATCATCTATTATATATATATGTATATGCATATATTTATACATATATACATATATGTATGTACACATGCACACACATATATGATCCTGGAGAATCATCCATGTTATTATGGAAAGTCTTTGTCTCCAAATATTGTAATAATGGAACTCCTCGTAATGAATACTTTTGTTTTTCTATCAGACCAAGAGACAGCTTATGTTGCTAGATTTCTGTGTAGCACTAATCCCAAAGAAAAGCACACTACTTAGAAAAAGACAATTGTCAGCCATTTATTTTTAACACATTTCAAACCAAATTGTATTATAAAGCAGCAATCATCAACTACTTGGTACTGGTTAAGAAATAGAGTGGTGGATCAGTGGAATAGGTTAAGTGTGCAAGACACAATAGTCAATGACTACAGTAATGTATTATTTGATAAACCCAAAGACCCCAACTTCTAGGATAAGAACCCACTCTGAAAAAAAAACTTCTGGGAAAACTGGAAAAGAGTATGGCAGAAACTAGGCATTGATAAAAATCCCACACAATATGCCAAAATAAAGTCAAAATGGGTTGATGATTTAAATATAAAGGCTGATACTGTAAGCAAACTGGGAAAGCAAGGAATAGTTTAACTATCAGATTTGTGGAGAGCAGAAGAATTCATGACCAAACAGGAGTTAGAGAACCTTAGGAAAAACAAAATTGATAAATTTGATTACGTTAAATTGAAAAGTTTTTACACAAACAAAGACAATGCAACTAAGATTAGAAGGAAAGTAGAAAATCGGGAAGGAACTTTTACAACCAGTCTCTCTGATACAGGCCTCATTTCTAAAACATATAAAGAATGAAGTCAAATTTATAAAAATACAAGTCATTCCCCAATTGATAAATGGTCAAAGGATATGAACAGGCAGTTCTCAGATGAAGAAATTAAAGTCATCTATAGTCATACGAAAAAATGCTCTAAATCACTATTGAATAGAGAAATGCAAATCAAAACAACTCTGAGGTACCACATTACACCTATCAGTTTTGTTAAGATGACAAAACAAGGATATGAAAAATGTTGGAGAAGATGTGGGAAAATTGGAACACTAATTCATTGTTGGTGGAGTTGTGAAATGATCCAACCATTCTGGAGAGTAATTTGGAACTATGCCCAAAGGGCTATCAAAATATGCATACCCTTTGACCTAGCAATAACATTTCTATGGCTATATACCAAAGATATCATACAAATAGGAAAAGGACCACATGTACAAAAATATTTACAGCAGCTCTTTTTGTGGTGGCAAAGAATTGGAAATTGAGAGGATGCCCATCAAATGGGGAATGGCTGAACAAGTTGTGGTATATGAATGTAATGGAATACTATTGTGCTATGAGAAATGATGAACAGGCTGATTTCAGAAAAAACCTGGAAAGACTCGTATGGTCTGAAGCTGAGTGAAATGAGCAGAACCAAGAGAACATTGTATACAATAACAGCCACGTTGTACAAAGACTAATATTGATAAACTTAACCCTTCCCAGCAATACAAGGATCTAAGTCCTCTCCAGAGGCCTCGTGATGGAAAATGCTACCTTCATCCAAAGAAAGAACTATGGAGTTTGAATGCAGATCAAAGCTTGCTATTTACTATTTTTTTTTCTTCTGTTGAGCTTTGTTTCCTCTTTCTGGTGATTCCTCCTATTGGTTCTCATTCTTACTTACAACATCACTAATGTGAAAATATGTTTAATAGGAATGTATATGTATAGCCTATATTAGATTGTGTGCCATCTTGGAGAGGGTGGTGGAAAGGAAGGGGGAGAAAAATTTTAAACTCAAATGCATATGGAAGTGATTGTTGATGAATCAAAATAAATTAATTAAAAAAGGAAAAGAAAAAGAAAACTTTTAGATCAATTAACAGGCACTTTCCTACTTAATTAACCCATAAAACCTCCCGGGGTTCTTGCCTCTATCCTTTTTTTCAGAAGTTAAGAACTTCAAATCCAACCTCAGTCACTTAATAACTTTGTTAACTGTACTCTAGTAACTTAACTGAGTTGCTCTCAGTTTGCTCATTTGTAAAATGAGCTGGAGAAGAAAATGGCAAAGCTCTCCAGTATCTTTGCCAAGAAAACCCCAAATGGGGTCAAGAAGAGTTGGAGGCAACTGAACTACAAAGTTGTCTTTTTTTTT